TGTGGACAGTGAGCATACTCATAAATGAACTAGATTCCGATGCTGCCTTGCAGCATGAGCCTTCGAGGTCGTTACTAGGTTATGGGGAAATTATACGGTGCTGCCGATTGCCCTCTATCGAGGTGGCCCTGAAAATCCACGGTCGTTACTGAAGAGTGATTGAGTTCCGTCTTATTTTCTGTTTTATCAAACATATGGGCCAGATCGGAAAACCGTTTGCTTTTTGTCACGAATTTGCACTTATATTTGGCATCCTAAATTGCAAATACCCTGAGAGCATGATGCCAGTCACTTCCCAGTCGGGTTTTAAGTATGAATACCCAGGTGTCCGAAGCACCGACTATACAATGGAGGTAAGAAATGAAGCGGCATGGAATAGTAGCCAAATAAAGGTGGGCATCTTCGGAATAGCGAGGGATATACATGCTTTTTTCGATGCTGTCAAAAGTTTATCATGGTAGCATACGGTCTGGTAATTTTCACGACCTCTTGGTAAGCGTTGAGATCTATGCCATCCATGAAGGTCAGAATGAAGGCCTGCAACCGCCAAGACTTGCCTCCAGGGACGACTTTCAACGTTCCAATAAACTGTACAAGTCTGTCCTGAGCACCCTCTCCAGCCAGGCTTGTTTTCAAGTCTTCCGCGAGTAGCGAAACATCCACCAGAACGCAGGGATGTGCATCCATTTGTAAGGGCGACAAGATTTCGACCTCGTTATTTTGGGGATCAAATGCTGAAATTCTTTGAAGTGGGTTACCAAACGAAGAGAAACAACTTACATTCCGAGAAGGCGTATAGTCAAGACATGTGTGCTTGCGAGTTGTTTGAATTGATCGTATTTTTCGTAAAGTTCGTCAAAGTTCACGTAGGGTGCAAAATCCATAGTGCCTTGAAGAAAAAAGAAATGATCGTCTTTAAAGCTATCTAGAAGGTGCACTGGTGATATGCCATGGGCAGACGTTTGTGTCAACTTAGGAACTGGTTGTCTGGCGCCGCCGTGGGTCTTGGATGGCGTGAGAAAGACTTCCGTCTACAAAAAGGTGGTCGTCGATTGCGGCTAGGGTTTGGAGGCTTACCGCTTGGTGAGCCAGGCGCTAAAAAATGCTGCCGTCTGATGACAGCACTATGACATACTGAAAGTGGACCGATAATAAATAAAGTATCGCTACCACTTGTGTCACCTGGATTCTCATGACGAGGATAGGCAGACAACTACGAAGTGACTCACGCAATATTAAGTGCGTGAGTGGTGTCATCCAGCGCAGCGTAAATCTGGCTGGCGACAGTACAAAGGTGAGTGGACACAATGAAGTCTGACCGTACACATACAAACACAACTATGATCTGCAAGTCGGTGTGCCAATTGGTCCAGTTTGGCTCAGGAATCTGCCGTAAACCCACTGAACTGCAACTGATGATATGAAATTTGTTCAGTTGAGATGAATGCCGTCCACAGAAAAGGCTGTGGTGCTCGCCCGAGACCTAAGTTTTTTTAACGTTAGGAGAGATGAAAAGCATTGCTGCGGTTAGCCTACCTAGGTAGTAAAAACGTGTTTACGAAGATCTGCCAGTTAGCTTAATTATGTACTGTTTGGCGCGTCCACGTGTGACGAACTGCAACAGATTTAAGCAGACCTGACTAGTAAGCATTCACAGAATGTTCAGCGGTAATAACTTCAGAAGTGACTGGCATGCTACCGATGAAAAGACCGCAAGCTATAGGGGTATGTTGCATTCCGCCCAGTAAAGCTTCACCAATTGCC